CAGCATAAGGGCAGGACGACAGACAGGCAACAACAGCCTGAGGGCAGGAGGGAGCCCAGCTCAGGGTACCCGGCAGACTTCCATGGGCAGTAGGCTAGCCTCGGGCAGGCAGCATTCCTTGGGCAGTGGGCTAGCCTTGGGCAGGCAGAGAGGTCTAGCCCAGGGCAGCAGGGGTTATCCTGTCATCCACCAGCCGGGTGCAGCCACAGGGAGTTCAGGTCTCAGCAGGCTTCTCTGAGCCTTGGGTTCCTTAGCCAGGTGTCCACAGGTGGGCTGGGCAGTGTTGGAGTCAGCAGCAGCCCCTTCACCCCGCCCGTATTGTTCAGGTATGACTCTGGTTAGGGCAGCCCTCACCACCTCGCTGTGCTCCCCAGGTATGCCTTCCACAGCTCGGCCTGGCTGGTGGCGGGCAAGGCAGACCCAGCCACACCCGGCCGCGTGCACTTCCACCCTGACTCGCCGGCCAAGGGCGCCCAGTGGATGCGCCAGATCGTGTCCTTCGACAAGCTCAAGCTGACCAACAACCTGCTGGATGACAATGGCCACGTGAGGCCCGGGCCACGGCGGGGACGGAAGGGCCTGGGGTCAGGGCTGGTGGGGCCCTTGGTGCCCAATGGCCTTGGTGACCATCACCTAGGCCTGCTGCTGGCCAAGGCTGGGCGGGGAGTGGGGGTGGCACAGCAGGGAGGGCTGTCCAGGCAGGTGGAAAAGGGGGTGGGGCCGGGGGAATGTTCCAGCATACGTTGTCCCCCACAAGGAGAGGGAGGACAATGTATGGAACGCCCAGCCTCGGCCAGGCCGCTATATGTGTGGACACAGCATCATTGATACTTGGTCAAAGAGCCAACAATCCCTGCCCTCACAGAGGTCACTTCCTGGGGCAGGGGCAGGGTCCAGAAGACACTGTGCCCAGCATCTCAGATAGGGACAAATGCCAAAGAGAAAGCGGAGCTATGGAAGGGGGCGGAGAAAGGGTGCTGCTGCTCTCAGGGGGTGCAGCGAGCTGAAGACCTGAAGGAGGTGGGGACGGAGGGGCCCATGCCTGTCAGAGGGGACAGCAGGTGCAAAGACCCTGAGGCCGGAGAATCTTGGGCCCGCAGAACTGCAAGAGGCACCCATGGGGCCGGAGTGGAGCCAGGAGGGGAAGCCAAAGAGGCGAGTGCCTGAGGGGCCGGGGCTGACTGCTGGGGGCTCTGGCTTTTACCGTGTGGGGTGGAAGTCGCTGGAAGGTTAGGAGCAGGGGGCTATGTGATGTGGCTTCCTAGGCAGCTGTGTGGAGAAGAAACAGAGGGGTAAGGCGGGGACAGAGGACAGGCCAGGAGGCAACCGAGGAAACCAGTGAACGTGACAGTGGCGGGCCGGCACGCAGGCAGCGGGTGGCAGCTGCGATGTGGGGTGTGAAAGGACACGGAGGCAAGGATCCTCAAACACAAGGGGCCTTTAACACAGAACCACAGCCTTTCCAGCTCAGACCCTGCGCCACCATGAAAGGAACAGGGCAGTAGGCCCGGGGCAGGCCTCCAGCTTGGAGGGAAGGACTCCAGCCTCAGGGAGTCCGCTGCGGCCTGCCTCACCCCTGTACCCCTGCTCTGTCCCTTCCACAGATCATTCTCAACTCCATGCACCGCTACCAGCCCCGTTTCCACGTGGTCTTCGTGGACCCACGCAAGGACAGTGAGCGCTACGCCCAGGAGAACTTCAAATCCTTCATCTTCACGGAGACCCAGTTCACAGCCGTGACGGCCTATCAGAACCACAGGGTGGGTGAACCAGCTCGGGAGCACCCGCTGCAGGCCCATTTCACAGGGGTGGAGACTGAGCCCGGAGGCTTGCAGCCCTCACTGGCACAGACTACTGCCCTCCCCACTTATCCTGAGCATCTGCTGTCAGTCAAGGCCCTGCCCGCACTCCTATCAGCTCAGAGTTCCTGGGCCAAGGGGACCGGGTGCCAGGGAAGACAAGGTGGCTGAGCCTGGCTCAGGGCCAGCCCCACAACTGCACTTTGTCCCCTGCAGATCACCCAGCTGAAAATCGCCAGCAACCCTTTTGCCAAGGGCTTTAGAGAGAGTGACCTGGACTCCTGGTACTGTCTGACCCCAACCCTAGCCCCTCACTCCCAACCCCAGGCATATCCTAGGGCCTCAGTTCCTGACCCTTGTTTCAGGGTCACACCCTCTGACCCATCCTGGGGCCCCACCATCTGAATCTGGCCATGATCCCTGGCCTGGGTTCTTCCCCTTGATCCCCTCCCCCAATTCCTGCTCGCTCCATCTTCAGGCCTGTGGCCCCACAGCCCCTGCTCAGTGTCGCAGCCCGGAGTCACAGCAGCCTCAGTCCCTGTTTGCTGAAGGGCGCCACAGAGAGGAAGAAAGGTAAGGCTCCAGGCCTGCAGACAGTGGGACTAAGGCGTACACGGTGGGCGGGAAGCAAAGGGACAGGACCTCCAGGAAGGGGCTTCAGCAGCTCAGCAAACCCACAGGGCCCCTGTGTGGACACAGAGGGGGAAGCAAACATGCCTAAGACAATATGGGACTCAGAACACAGAGCACAGGCAGGGGGTGCCAGGCGGGCTTCCTGCAGGAGGTGGCTCCCAAACCGGGCTTTGGAGGACTGGGAAGAGTTTGGACGGGGGGAGAAGGTGAAGAAGAAATTCCAGATAGAGGGAAAAGCAAGGGCAAAGGCTGAGAGGTAGGTAACTTGGGAAGGAGGAGCAGGAAGGGACCAGGGCAGGCCTGGGATGAGGGCTGAGGATACGATGGGAGGCCCAGAGTCCACTCAGACCATTTCCTCCCTCAGACCCCAGCAAAGCTTCAGCTTCCACCTCCAGGACCCCTGCTCGGCTCCATCATCAGCTGCTGCCCCCACCTGAGGCCCTGCTGGCCCCAGCCACCTACAGGCCTGTCACCTATCAGAGCCTGTACTCTGGAGCCTCAAGCCACCTAGGGATCCCAAGGACCCGACCGGCACCATACCCCCTCCCCAACATCCGGGCTGATAGTGATCAAGGAGGCCTGCCTCTCCCAGCTGGGCTGGGGCTCCTGTCCCCCACTGTGGTGTGCCTGGGGCCTGGCCAGGACTCCCAGTGATGGCAGAAGCCCTGTGGGGAAGCCCTGCTACCCTGGACCTTACACCCGGTGTGGGAATCAGCCTCTGCCCCACCCCGTCCAGCCCCACCTCTGTCTCAAGGACAGCAGAGTAGGTGAAAGTCTAGAGAAAGAGACTACCTGCGCAGGGTCACAGCAAGGCTGAGACCATGGCAAGCTTGGAACCAGGCCTTCTACCTCCCAACCCCAGCAGCCTGAATACTGTGCCCTCTTGCTTTGGGGGTAACTCCCAAAAACCCTGCCTTACCTCTCTCTTCCCCCTAACATTAAACTATTTGGCACGAGTGGTCAGAGCACTTCCGTCCTCGTGGTCAGGGCGGGGCCCTCAGGAACTCCCAGACCCACACAGTCCCCACAGCAGCCCTGTGTAGGCATCCCGAGGCTCTGCTCAGTGCCGTCCGCATCCCTGGGAGCACACAGTGATATTAAAAGTGGTGACTCCAGCCCAGTGGCAGGGCTGCACTTGCCCAGATGAGGATCGAAACTGGCGCTCAGAGAGGCACGGGATCTGCTCAAAGTCACACAGCAGGGCATGGCGGACACCCGCCACCCCACGTTTAAATACTGTGTGCAAGGTTGGGGTCATTTGGTCCCCAAGCCCAGGGTCTGGTGGAAGGGTGCGGAACCACGGTGGTCAGTGATCACAGGAGCCGAGGAAGGGACGGGGGAGGGATTTGGGAATCCGGTCAAGACTCAAGGCAGGGAGAAGAGCTCTGGACGCTGGGACAAGGAGGTCAAAGGCCTGGGCTGGAGTCCGAAGGAGCCTGAGGGGAAGACAAGACTGGGAGCGGCGCACGCCACTCAGCGGCACCGGGAGGGAGCACCAGAGGGAGGGCTAGGCCGGACGCTCCTCTCGTGCACCGATCGACCTCGGGGTCCTAGAGGGGCGTTCCCGTGGAATCCCAGCTCCGCACATCCTGGAGCCCCTAGGGGAGGGACGGACCAGCGGGGGCCGGCGAGGCCTCATCAGACACCCCAACGCCAGGACCCAACGGGACCGAGGACGGTCGCCGGGCGCTTCACGGTTCGCGCGGTTCCAGGATCTCGAAGGACACACCCGGCAGGTCGTCCAGCTCCGCGCCCACCTCCCTCCCCGCGGCCACGCC